AAATAGAGAAATTTAATTTTTTTAAGAAATTTTGGCCAAAAATTTGTTTTTTTTTTTTTTTTTTTTGCTTTTAATCTCAGAAAAAGGTCTTATTTCTTCTTCCTCCAGTGGCCCTAATCCTCTTCCATAAAGTTTGACTTTGCCGTCTCAAAACGTTTTGTACACGTTTGCTCCGCAGCGTTTCGGCTTCGCCTCATTCGCGTCTCTTGCTGCGTCGGGTGAGAATGAGATGGAACGCCACAAACATCTGGACTGTTTAACATTTCACTGCTCCTTCCAAATACGCCCGAGTCAGCAGAATCCTCCAAATAGTTCTGAGAAGAGATCTTCGTTTTGTAAAAAAACAGGAGAGAAATGTAGCAGAGGCTCTGAATGTTCCTAGAAACGCAGTTTGAGGCGAAGTTGGCAGAATTACCAGTGAAGAAACTGCAGCTTCACTGTTTCACGGCGGCAGGATGAGGAAACGATCAGCAACCGCCAGGAGATTCCTGAGGAAGGCAGGTGGTCAAAATCCCTCCGACTGCAAAAACCCAGCAGCTTTCAGTTCAGCAGTGACATTTTGTGTTCAGTTTGAGTCGTTTTGAGCTCTTACAGCAGCTGTGTGTATATTTACAGTCGCTGCTCGTCGTGGCCTTAAATGCGGCGGTTTGATTGGACCAGAAAATGACGCAGCTGCGTGTCCAGTCTGGCAGGTCCAGCGTCCTGATGCGACCCGCTGGTGCAGAGTGGAACTAAAACCAGCAAAAAGATGGGTCAAGCGCTCTGTGGGCGTCTTTATGCCAAATCTGGAGCGAGAAACAGAGAGCTTTTTCACTTGTTTTCATGCTCCAAGTGGTGAACTTGACAGGGAACATTAAGCGTCGTAAAAGACGGATTAGCAGAACGCACTGGTTGTAATTTTAGCAGCTCTACGGCTCCTCTGCAGGATGTGGTCAGAAATGAATGCGTATTCTGAGAAGGAGATGTGTCCAAGTCCAAGTTACTACATGATGAATTTGTTCACAGCAAATCCATATCGGGTTCTTTGAGTGCTTTGTTTTCTGCTCCGAACATTTGATGCCTGAATAGTTTCCATAAACACGAGCTGCGTCTTTCTCCGGCGTTACATAATCGCGCACTTCTCATTCCTTTTCTCACATGTGATTGGTCACAAGAAAAAATGAGTTATCTGCTTCATTTTCATTTGAATAGAAGCTAAAATTGTCTTTTTTAGATGTTTATTGCATTTTGCCACGAGAATCGCATTAAGCTGACACTTTAAATCGATTGAAGGTCAATTTTCTGCTCTCGCTTCAAGCTTCACACGCCCTCATTGCAGCTGTGGACTTTTCGTCTGTCTCTTGGATAATTGGACTTTGCGGCTAGCTGTGATCTTGTCTTTGTGACCAGACATGTGCCTGAGCTCAAACGAAGGCAGCGAGGAGCTGCAGAGTCGCTCCAAGCTGCTGCGCCTCCTGGACTCGGTCACCGACGCTCTGGTGTGGGCCATCGCCAAGAGCGGCCTGACCTTCCGCCAGCAGTACACGCGCCTCGCCCACCTCCTGATGCTGCTCTCACACATCCGCCATGTCAGGTAAACGGCTCACCAACGCTCCGATGCTGCAGGCTCCTCGCCGCAAAAACTCCTCAATGTCTGACTGACACAAAACTTAAGGGGGAGGAAAGAGGAGGATGCAGACGTACAGCGAATAAAAGTGGAAAAATGTTAACGGCCGCATCATGCTGCGAGGCGATCAGAGTTTAGGAGAAGATGGATGGAACGAAATAAAGGGTAATTCTGGTAGAAAACTTCCTGGAGGCTAAAAAAATGATTAAATTTAGAGCTAGAACTGCAATAGTTTAAATATGATGCATATTTAAAGGGGATCTATTATACAAAATTCACATTTTGGGCGTTTTATGCGTTTCTACTGGTTCTAAAAACAGACCAAGTGTTGAAGGAAATCCACCCAGCTGTTTCTTTTTTAGCAGTAAGTTAATATCTGTGGTGTTAATTCAAAAACCTTCAGATTGTTACCTAGCAACCCAAGCTGAACTCCAGCATGTTTGGTCAGCTGTACAATGGCTGCTGGAAAAGGCAAGTGATTAGTTATTGACTTACAATCCAGAAGCCACTGACTGCATTCTTGTTCATTGTGTAGGAGGCGATATTAATGCTTTTCAACGCTGTTCGGTTCTATGGTTGTGAATCTGTTTGCAGCCATTTTCACAGTGTAAATGTTGATTTGGGGCCGTGGCCTGCAGCAGATTTAGATTTAAATGACAATGTCATCATCTAAGACTGGGACTGTCGAGTCCCCAAAACCTGTACTCAAGAGCAGCACTGCTTCATATAAAAGTAAAGTATTTGGTAAAAAGCAATTGGGTAACTGATCAAAATATGAATATTTAAAAATTACCTCATCAGATGGACCAAAACATAAGTGGAAATTTTGGTATTTTAAGAACCAAAATGACAATAATTTATATCAGAAACCAAAAAAATGTTTCCAAATTAATTTTTCATAAAAAAAAAACTTACAAAACTTTAACAAAAACTGCAGGTTTGTGTTTGAATTTTCAGTTAAAACGTGTTTTTTTCATTCAGTGGGTAGAAAATCCAGAAATTTTACTCAACTTTCTTCAGATGTTGATTACATTTCGCCACAGGAATAATATTAAGCTGACAGTTTTAATGAATTGAAGGTCAGTTTTCTGCTCTCATTTGAAGTTTCACACAGCTTCATTGTAGCCGTTTAACTTTTCGTCTTTGCCAGCTGTGATTTGTTTTTGCCAGACATGTGCCTGAGCTCACATGTCTCAGGCACTTTCTACACTGTAGAAAGTGCACTGTAGTAAAAATACTCCTAAAAGTATATTTTTGTCAAAAGTTACTCAAACAAATGTAACTAGTTACTACCCAACTCTGCTGGTATTACTTTGTACTTATAGAAATCTTATAGATGTTTTTTGGGTTTTTTTTTCTCTTCTTGACATATTTTTTGATGTGCACCTATAGTCCGGTAAATACGGTAATCCCAGTAGCATGGATTACAGTCTGTAGTTTCTTAAAAACCTGTAACTTCTTGGCCTTCCTTCTTCCAATGTGCAGTAACAAAGGCATGGACCACCTGCACTGCATGAAGATGAAGAACATCGTGCCTTTGTACGACCTGCTGCTGGAGATGCTGGACGCTCACATCATGCACAGCTCCCGCCTCCCTCGCCGGCCCGCTCAGCAGGAGTCCACGGATCAGCCGGCGGCGGCGGCAGCGTCTGGCGGCCCCTCCAACACCTGGACTCCCAGCAGCGCTGGAGGTGGGGTCGAAGCCCAGTGTTCAGATTAAAGCTCCGATCCGACGACATCTCACTGGACCGACGCTGTTCAGGAGCAAAGACCGAGAGCTGGAGTCTCTGACCACTGGTGAATCTTCAACACACTGTGCACTGCTGCTGGTGAGTTCTCAGAGGACAGACCGGACCTGGAAACGAGCCGTCATTCTGACACGCAGCGTCAGGACTTTCCACTTCATATAGGGCATCATACCAATCATCGTGGATCACTCAGCCTTCACTGTGACACACAGTGTTGCGTTATTTAACTCCTGTAGAGTTGCTTTGTCACAGCTTTTAACAGCAAAGAAAACTCGATTAGATTCAAATAGCTTTTTGTTCTATGATTTTATTTACTGAGGGAGAAAAGCTTTGCAGACCAACCTGGATGTATGTGAAAAAGTAAATTCCTCCATCTAAAATCATGACCAAAAGTTTTTATATAACAATTACCCAAAAATTAGTCAAAAACAATCCATGAGTTCACACAAAAAAAAATAAAAATAGATCTATAATAGTGCAGGCCTCACTTATCTTAAAGATCAGAGTTCATGATTCAAAAAATAGAAAAAAATGGGCAAAAATAAATTTAAAGGCCCTCCTTATAAAATCATTATGTTTAATATCCAAATATGCTTAAAATAAAAAGCATAATTTTGGAGTGTTTAAATCCGATTTGCGGTAATTAATCAAAGCTGGAGAATCAAGACTCCAAAACATGGCAATTTGCTGAAAGGCCAACATATAAACTGTGCTAAAATATACATTTTGCATAAAAGATTAAATAAATAAAAAAAAGTTGTAAGCATGTTCAAGTCAAAACTTAAATTAAAAATAAGCAGAATGGCATGTTTTTTTTTTTTCTTTTATCTGATTAATCATCAAAATAATTACGTGCGGCCCCAATTAAGGGAGTAAAAACACATTGAAGATTGTTGACTCTTTGCACGAAATCATTCAGGCGCCATGATGGACGTCGGAACTGAGGCTCGGGAGTGTTGAACAGAGCGACTGAAATTGTTTTCCAAAGTTATTTTTGCCACTTCATTGATGGCTTATTCTGGTTCGAGTCGAGCTAATTTGTCTGTGAACGAAACACACCTGAATGGGCCTCATAGACGGTGATATTTGCAGAAGCTGGAAGCGGCTAGCTTAGGAACCGACCCGAACCTGCTCCATGTTGATCAAATTACCGACTCTGCCTGAATTCACACATTTACGTCATAAACGGCGTTTCCCCTTAAAACGGAGCAACATTAAAAACGTAAAACGACGAGATGCTAACCTTACATGTTAGGCTACATGACGGTGCGGCACTGTCTCCATGGTTACCAACGGTCAGATACGTACCTTCTCTATAATGCGATATTTGATATCCGTCATCAAAAATACTTATAAAGTAATTTAACTTTAATCTTCGTACCTTGTAACAAGTGATCGCTGATTTCACCGAGGGCTGATTGACGGCCGCTGCATCAAAGTTTTAAAATATGACAAGTTTGGTTTCTATCCGTCTGCTGGTGCAGCCGACCGCGCAGCACCTTACGACCATTCTCAAAGTGAAATCAACTAAATAGAAGCGATATTAGGTTACAGGTGTCTGATTTTAGACGGGCTCTAAAGGAGCGCATTGATCCATCATGGCGGAGTTCTGGAGTCCGTGACGTCACGCTGAGTCAACAGCGTCGCATACAATCAGGTTGGATGTTTTGGTTACTCCTCTAAATAAATTAAATCATTTAGTTTTTCTACTAAATTTCATTTAATCTGGAACATGAACGTTTGACAGAAAATAAATCTGCATGGAGGCAATTACTTTTCCACCGCACTGTTCATCAAGGCTTGTATTGTTAGATGTAATTAAATTTTCTGCATAAATGACGTAAAACCACTAGATTTCTACATCATAAACAAAACCACTAGATTTCTACATCGCTCCTCACAGCTTCTTCTTTTTCTTACTGCAGTGTAATTTGCAAACAGAAATGCCTTAAAAACCTGTTAGAATGTAAAAAAAAAACAAAACAAAAAAAAAAAAACTGAAGTTTTGTTTTTGATGTTAATCTTTTAAAAATTAGAGTATTACGAATCAAAGAGGCATAAAACAGGATCTGGCAGACCGAAATGTGCACTTGTGATAAAAACAAAAAATGCTATTAGAGCTCCAACCAATAAACTACCACTTTGGTGAAATCTTTTAAATGCAGGTTTAAAAAGTTATTTTTGTCACTTTTTGAGGTAATTTTACAATTGAAAACCGTCTTTGGTCCAACCCAAGTCTCCTCAGGGCACTTCAGCTACAAAAGAAAAATAAATGTTAAAAGGTTTTTCCCTTTAGCCTGTTTTCCTGAACTGGGATTTTTTTAGAAGCATCATTTTAAGTCGAGTTTATGCAAATAAACACAATTTTTAAGTGTTTGAAGACGAGCAGACATAAGATTTCGAAGTAAAAGACGGTGATGACATCACTGTGTAACTCCTGGCCTGCAAAAAGCGACTGCAGAATAATCTACATCCGGTCACTTTAGGTGATTTTTACATGGCGGAGTCCATGTTTATAAATTCACCGTATTCGATGAAATGGAGAATTTTTATTTTTTTATTTCAAGCAGAGGTCTGTTGAAGCTGTAACTGTAAATCTATCCTGCTTTAGATCTTAATATTAACATATTATTAAATATGCATGTACTTAATCAAAGTTAAAACCTAAAACAGGAAGTTTATTGTCTTTAATAAACATCTACAAAGTTTCATCTTGTTTCACTTTCTCCATTTTTATGACTAATTAAACTCTTCAATGTAAATAGGAAAAGTTTTCCTTTATAAACTCAACACTTTGCTTTGAATATCAAAGTTTAGCATCAGAGCAGACGACACTTTTTGTAAACAATAAAAACTGTTTGGATTTGTTGGGTAAGAAAGTAATGGGTCTGATTTTGTGATTTAATGGTTGATAAACTCACTTAAAATGTTTATTTTTGTAATCCGTTCTAACAGAAAATACTCGCTGAAGTGTCCAAACCTTAAATAAAAATATCTGCTGCTAACTGAAGGTTAGGATATCGGTTCCAACAGATCCCCAGTTTTCTCTGAATTTTTTTTTTTTTTAATGTCCATTTGTGCCTCGTTAAAAACGTTTTATGGAAACAAAGCACTTAACATGTATGGATTGAAGGAATACAACAAAAAGGAATAAATAAAATGCATAATTATAGAAAAAATCTATTTTAAAATAACTTATGTAACTGAAATTGAAGCTTAATTGCAAATTTTTTGAGCTTTATTTGGGTTTATTCGTCTCCACTTTGCTTTTTTTTTTTTTGTGAATTTAAGCCGTTTGATCAAAATTTATTCCTTTTTGTTTTGTTCCAAAGTTGGGCGAGATGAAGGTGATTTCTGTGATATTTTGCAGCTTTGACAATCACTAAGATTTACGGTTGTTTACCACAAACAGGTCTCTGGACTTCTGCCTTTTTCTCAGCTTAAACTGTATTATGGCTGTGTACAAAAACAAAACTGTCGATCTTTGTTCATTTCTGGTGAAAACTTTTAGTAATAAATGTTCAAACCTGTAATATCTGTCGCCTTGTTATTAAATGAGGCAAATGGAGAATGAAGGAAAACAATTAGGATTTACTAACAGAAAATCAGACATAAATAAAAAGCCTTACATTCTGTACACAAACATCCTGCTACTAAAAATGAATCAGATTTATAAAAACACAAATAAAACAAAGTTTTTTTTCTAGGATTCAAACATGAAACACGATGAAATGTTGAATGTATAGAAACATTATGGAGCTCCGAGTCATTTTAAAGGAAAATCCGATTTAAATCCGACCTGAATCAGTTAAAACAGATTTTAAAGAGCTAGAATAAGATAAAATGCATGAGAATATAAAATGGATCTGCTTATTACTGATGTTTTAAACAAAAATGTACAAATCAAGCCTTATTTTTAAAGTGAATCAGGCAGTTTTACCGTCTTTATTTTTAAAATTTCTCCTTTTGATTCAGTTTTTAAGCCTCA